ATGGGAAGGAAATATGTGTCTAGTTTGGCTTAAGAAGCAGTTTTCCCCTAGGAAAAAATTATCTTATTTTCAACCATCTTAACACTTGGTCAGTACAACACACAACACACAACACACACACACCACACAACACACGTACGTTTGATACGGATACTAAAATTTAAAAACTTGTCACCAAATTATCAAATACAGGCCTGCAGAGAGATACTGAAGACAAGCAAACTAATCCACTTACAAAGTTCAAGGAAAAGGAAGAACCAGGCATTTAAATAGGCTGGGCAAGGCAGGGAAGTGAAATGGGAATCTTTTGAAAAGTCAGGGCAAAGACAAGATGGGGCTCTCAGATTACTTTCCAGTGAACTGGTTCAGAGAAGACTACTTCTGCCCCCAGCCCTGTCCTGAGAGAGGGTAGAGTGTAGTCTCTGGAGAACGAACCAGAGACTGGAGGAGAGAACAACAGGCACAAAGACTGGGGCTGAGGCATGGGGTTGCAGATTGGAGGCGGTGTACTGTGAGATCTTCTCTTTGACCCCACTTGCTCCAGAACACAGGTACTTCAATGAGTCCCCATACCAGTTTTCCCGCGGAGATCAGAGGCACCCTCTCTGGAGAGACAACCACCTCAGAAGAACCAACATATGGACATTTCGGGACCTGGTGACAATCGGTTGGCAGCTAACAGTCAGCCAGTTGATGGGCTCTCTCATCGCAAAGCTCCAAACAGCTCTTTTCTCTTTTTTTGAAATATTCAGCAAAGAGCTGCCTAGCAGGGCCTCCCCAGTGGCGCAGTGGGTTGAGTGAAGTGTAGCACTGTGAAGCTGTCCGCAGCCTCTGCAGTGGGGGTTTGATTGCTGGCCAGCCAGGGAGATACCCACATGGCACGGCAGACCTCTCCTGTCTTGCCTGCTGCTCCCCTCAGCAGTGTCTTCGGTCCGTCTGCCTGTTCTGTTCCCTGCTCTGCCTCTGGTGAGTCCTCTCACCCTCCCATGCCTCTGGCCTGTACCCCAGTTCTTGAATAAATAAATCTTTTTTTTTTAAAAAAAAGAGCTGCCCTAGCAGCTGAAGAAAGCCACCATCATGACTGAGACAAAAGGATAAGGGGCACAGGAAACATAAATTATTATTGGGCAAACAGAAAATAACTTTTAAAAACTAATTCATATCTTTAAGGAGATGAGAAGATGTTGCATATACCAAAGATTATGGTAATAAAAAATGTTTAGGGGCCTCCTTGTGGCACAAGGGGTTAAGTACCACACTATGAAGCAATCCGTAGCCTCTGCAGCACGAGTTCGATACCTGGCCAGCCAGGGAGCAACCCACACGGTGTAGCAGACCTTCCTGACTCTCCTACTGCTCCCCTCAGCAGTGTCTTCGGTCCATCTGCCTGCTCTGTTCCCCACTCTATCTCTGGTGAATCCGCTCCCCCTCCGCATCTCTGGCCTGTACCCCAGCTCTTGTATGCATAAATAAATCTTTAAAAAAAATTAATAATTAAAAAATGTTTAGAGATTGTAAACAAAAGCTGAAGTTTCATTTAAAAGCCTGCAAAATGCAGCACTCTAAAGTAGAGAGAAAGAGAGACATTGTAGAATAAAATATGATCGGAGTCAGCCTGAAAGTGTCAAACAGAAGAAGAAAAAAAATGGAGACTATTTCCCAGGGCCTACAGATGAGCCTTTAGCTGGCACAGAAATGCAAAACGAATGACAAACTTCAGTGAAGCTTGATACAACCAGAGAAAAAGAACTAAAATCTTCCACAGGAGAAAAAATAAGGAAGTCACAAGGAAAGGAATAGGAATCAGAATAGCAACTGACTTAACACAGGAGCATAAAAATGAAACACTAACTTTTCAGAGAATGATTTCTAATCTATAATCTTTTGCCTGGAAAAAATGTCAATATGAAGTGGAAGTGTTTATTTTTTCCTTTCATTAGCTCTCCAGACAAATTTTCAAAAGGAAGAATAAAATAAATTTTTTTCAAACATATGTTTCATCTTTAAAAAATGGAATATAAAGGACCTAGCAGCGAAGAGACACTAGTTCAAACAAGCAGAAAGATGGAAGGGTCTCTATTAATGGAACTATTAGATGATCTAGACAGCTTTCCTTGTGTGGAAAACAGAAAAAGGTATTTAACTGAGCTGTCAAAAAATGTGAGGAGGCTTCATGTTTTTAAAGAAAGCCAAGTAAATAAAACATACGTTACTGCAAGAAAATCAGAAACTGGCAAACCTTATGGTTCAGCAGTCAATAATATTTACAGACATAATGAAACACTGAATATACATATAACCAAAAATTCAGGAATAACTACAGTGGAAGGAATAAGGAGGAAAAAATAGGGAGGGGCAGAGTGTAGAATATAAGAACTTAATGCTCATATACCTTAATTTATATAGTGGTTAAATAGCAAAGTGGTTGCCTCTTGAATATGAGAAATGGGTTGGAAAGACTTTTATAAGCCCTCTAATACTACTTGACTTTTTAATACTTATGCATATATTCCTTTGCATATTAATTTTATAAGTCACATAATTTAAAATATGAAAAAGTATCCAGAACATTTAAAAGTCTGAATTCTATAGCAAATAAGCAATTTCATGATTCTATTTTTTAAAGAGATCTTAGTAGAAAATTATGTCATCAGAAAAGTAATAATTTTAAGGAAATAAAACTAGTGAAGGGGTCACAGTTTACTTATGAGCTACGCTGACATCTTGTAAAGACTGGTAGAAACTCATCAAATTATTTGGAAGAAAGTGAGCCCAGGGACCCACCCGTGCTAGCTGACTGAATTGGGCACATGAGGTTTGGTGTGGTTATAATTGCAGAAAGGTCACCAAATGAGAAGCCAGAGGACCCTGGCTTCCACCCTTGTAGCTATTTTATACCAGCTCCTTGAATTCAGTTTCTGGGCCTACAGAGACATACAAGATAATCATGTTACAGACGACCTCTTCTCCATCATCAGACATCACTTATGACTATGTACATGTTAATGACATGATCAAGAAAGTTTAGTATATGTGCTGCTGAACCGAGCACTTGATCAAGAAAGTTTTAAAGGAACAAAATGAACTGAGAATAAGTTGAGCTGCTAACCTTAACACAGAATATTTTCCATTAATGGAACACAGGATAGTAGTTTATAATTTTCAAGTTTTAACTTCTAATTGTCATGTACTATTCTTACACATATAATTACTGACATTCTTAGATCAAGGTCAATGCAAAACACACAGAAACGTCAATAAAATAAATTTAAATCTTCTATCAGCAATTCACTGCAAAGTTTTTCTTAAATCTGCTAAAATTAAAAAAAAAAAAAAAACAATTTAAGAACTTACCAACCATTAAATCCTACATAGAGATCCAAGTCAATCAAAGCAGCTGCTGCTTCCTTGCTACCATCAAATGAATGCACCTAGGGACACAGAGGTAAGGTATTATTATATAACCAGGATGCTTTAACATTCTAAGCCTTTTTTAAGAGTTTATTAAAAAAAAGTGAGAGAGAGCTACAGATACATTAGGGATTTTTGGACCACAGGGTTTCAAATACAGTAGCCCCTAAAATTTTTATTTTCTAGTCAAATTTCACAGTTAAAATCTGCCATCTCCAATGATCCGAGACAAGGAGTTGGCTAGCTGGACTTCTCTCTGGCTGTGCCACGTCCCTGCACCAGCATTACCAGAGCACCTCCAGAGAAAGGGGCTGGAGGGGGAGTCAGATTATTAGGCAACAAACATGAGGAAAAGTTAGAAATATTATAAAGCTATTTAAGATATTTTTAAATGTAGTTTAATTTTCCTGTTAGAAGATACTTTTTTCCTAGAAAAAACTTTTTAGAGGCAAGTTTTAAGATCTATAAAAAGGTTGTGAGGGGCCTTCCCTGGTGGCACAGCGGTTGAGCGCTGGGCTGCGAAGCTGCCCGCAGCCCCTGCAGCGCCGGTTGGTTCCCCGGCCACTGGCGAGGGTCCTACAAGGCGCGCAGACCTCTCCTGCAGCCCGCTGCTCCCCTCAGCAGTGTATTTCTTTGTCAGTCTGCCTGTTCTGTTCCCTGCTCTGGCAAATTCTCTCTCCCTCCTGCGCTTCTGACTGTACCCAGTGCTTGTAAATAAATAAATAAACAAAAAAAAAAAAAAAAAAAGGCTTTGCTAGAAAGTCACCACCAGTCACTATACAATTATTTAAAAAAAAAAAAAAAGGTGGTGAGAACATTTACAACAGGTCTAAATATGTTAGTATCAATTCATCAGGCAAGGACTGAGATGGGGCTTCTCCTTGTCATAGAGGGGTGAAAGTGCAGTTCCTCACATGTTGGATGTACTTATGTAATCAAGACAAACAAGTGTGTCACATTAATACCAAGTCCAGAGAATTGTTTCTCAACAACGATGAAAACTGCTGCAGAGCTGCCCCTCAGCACTTCCAGTGACAAAACCGTGCCTCCATTAATACAGAAATTATTTTATTTTAAAGATTTATTTTATATTTATTTATGCATACAAGGACAGTGATGCAGGCCACAGCTATAGGGGGTAAGAGGATTCACCAGAGACAGAGTTGGGAGCAGAACAGGCAGACTGACTGAAATACACTGCCGAGGGGGGCAGTGGGCAAGACAGGAGAGGTCTGCTGTGCCCTGTGGGTCAGCTCCCTGGCTGGGGATGGAACTCATGCCAGTAGCGGCTCCCTGCTATCTTTTTTTTTTTTTTTTAACAATTTTTTGAATTGCAAATATTTTTTATTTTTTATTTATTTATTTTTAATTTTTATTTATTTATACAAGCACTGGGTACAGTCAGAAGCGCGGGAGGGTGAGAGAATTCACCAGAGCCAGAGCGGGGAGCAGAGCAGGCAGAAGGACCGAAGTACACTGCTGAGGGGAGCAGCGGGCGGCAGGAGAGGTCTGCGCGCCATGTGGGACCCTCCTCTGGTGGCCGGGGAGCAGCCGGGGATCGAACCAGCTCTGCAGAGGCCATGGGCAGCTTCGCAACCCAGAGCTCAACCGCTGCGCCACCGGGGAGGCCCACTCCCTGCTATCTTGATAGTGCTGAGACTTAACCCCTTGCACCACAAGGAGGCCCAATATTGAAATAATTTTAAATGTGATTCTTCAACAAGTATTTCAGAGAATTATTCTTTATTTAGCAATCTCTTTTTTAATTAAAATTGAACCCAAGTTGGATTTGTTGTTGCTGTTATTTTTTTAACTATTATAGAATCATCCAATTTAATTCTTATTTAGAAATAAAGCAAATGGGCTGAGAGGTAAAGACTGAAGGCTATTAAGTGCCACCAGTAATTCAAGGGCATTAACGAAAGTCTCTCAGTTCCCAAGTGCAATTCCAAAAGAATAAGCTGGCCAGTATGCTACAAAGAAGTGCTCAGTAATATCAACACCACAGCAACACAGGAAACACACATCACTTGTAGTATAAACATTGATGCAGATGCTGAATAAAAACTTGAGAGACTACATAAAATGTCAAAGCAACACAACATGGGTACACAGTAAAGGCTTGGTACTGTTCCTCTTTCCTTAGCTGGCACAGTATAGAGATTTTTTTTATAGCTGGATAACAGCTTTTTTGCTGGAGATCAATGAGGCTCTCCTGAAGATAGAAAATATGTATTTTCGAGCATTTTCTGAGGCAGATTTTCAGAGGCATTAATGATCCAGAAAAGATGAAAAAGCACTAGCATGGCCACTTGAGTTAAATGGTGGGCAGATAACACTTAGGGAAACAGCTCAACGCTAATGACTGAAATGACCCTACAGAGAAAGGCTTATTAGCACAGAAGCAGCAAACTACAGAAAGGAGAGGCTCTAGATCACTGAGGTAATAGTTTATGAACAGAGTTGACAAGAAATTAAGAAGGCAAACCTGAAATGAATGTGAAAAATTTTAAAACTACTAAAATTAGTTTATATTTTTGCTCAAAATTTAATTTGAAGAACATTTAAAGAATGGCTGGTAGAAGAGGCAGAGAAGAAATATCACATGCACTGTTAAAATGTGTAGGGTAAATCGATGGACTTTCTTATGACCAGAATTCTGTACTCAATTCTTGTACTCCAAACAAGTAACTAATTAAAAGTATGATTTATGGGGCCTCCTGGTGATGCAGCAGTTGAGCGCTGGGTTGCGAGGCTGCTCGCAGCCTCTGCAGCACCAGTTCGATCCCCAGCTGCTCCCCAGTCACCGGAGGAGGGCACACATGGTGCACAGACCTCTTCTGCCACCCGCTGCTCCCCTCAGCAGTGTACCTCGGTCCTTCTGCCTGCTCTGCTCCCTGCTCTGGCTCTGGTGAATTCTCTCACCCTCCCGTGCTTCTGACTGTACCCAGTGTTTGTATAAATAAACAAACAAACAAACAAATGAATAAATAAATCTTTAAAAAAATAAAAATAAAAAAATGAAAGTATGATTTATGTTTGGATGACATCTGGCCCAGAGATCAAACAGTAAACTTACATGTACTTCAAATGAGAGAAGAGCCTTAACAAATTTACCGTTACATGTGAATTACTTTAGAGGCCAATCTTTGTAATTACCAAGATGCTTTCATGCATCATACATTAAAAACAGCTCTTATACTGGGGCTCCCTAGTGGCGCAAGGGGTTAAGCACCATACTATAAAGCAATCCTCAGCCTCTCCAGCATGAGTTCGATTCCCGGCCGCAGACCTCTCCTGTCTCGCCTGCTGCTCTCCTCAACAGTGTACTTTGATCAGTCTGGCTGTTCTGTCCCCACTCTGTCTCTGGTGAATCCCTCACCCCCCGCATCTCTGGCCTGTACCCAGCTCTTGTAAGCATAAATAAATCTTAAAAAAAAAAAAAAAAAAAAACAACTCTTACACTTACCACCCCACCTACACATCGATCTCTGTTTCTTTTCATTATGTCTGTGAATTAAAAGAGAGAACTTTCAGCAAATAGCTTGATTTCTGCAAAATTTTTAAATTCTGAAAAAGATTTTAGCTTTGACTCACCTAAGAATTCATCATGTGAGTTTCGACAGTGAAGAAACATTGGCAATTTTGTTTGTTCTGAGAGTTCAAACTGTTTTTCAAAATATCTTATAATGCAAAAAAGATTTCCTTGTTAAAATGTTATTTTAGCATGAGAAATACAATTACATCGAGTGATTTTTTTTTTTTTTTTTTTGGGGTTAGAGGAATTTTATCCTCTAGAAATTAGGACAGAAATGTAGGATAAAATTAATTCAGACATTTAAATACATCAGGCTTATTAGTAAAGCCTTTATAACATAAAACTTCTAGAAAGGAATACTTTATTTTCTGAAATTACAGATTTTCAGAAATGTTATTCATGGGCCCTTGACTGTCATCCCGTTACAAAGTCTGTTTGCCTCAGGAGGCTGACCTTGAAAACAGACAGAAACGGAGGAATGATGACTCCCTTCCTTCGGGCATAACCTAAAAACTATTACAGACAACTGTTTTTCAACTTAAATGTGAATATGTGAACTTTTAAGGTTGAGTGAGCCCACCTACATGAAATTCAAGAGATATCAAGTGATAATCCAGCTGTTAATCACACAAATGTCCTTGAAAAACCCAGCAAATAATATACCACTAATAAGCGGTGATAGGTTATATAAATGGGAGGCCTGAAAGAGAGTCCACAGTACATGACTTTGACCCTTCCTCTGCCCCCTGGTTATGGACCTTCATACTCCGAGAACCTGGAGGTTTAAGTCTAGGGTGTGACATGTTCCCTAGTCAGCCCACTGCTCACTCACTGTGTACATTTTCAACTGGGCTGGAACAGCAGGATCTCCTCTGTGGCAGGGCAGGGGAGGGAGGAGAGGCGGATACTTTTGGTATGCATAATCTGAAAACTCCTTTCAGGTCACCCACTAGCTTAATCAAGATCATATGACAAAAATGGTTAATTATTAATTATTTTGACAGAATTGGACAGTATCTTCAAAGTGAATTTAAGAGGAGATTCCTCCTTTGTGTTTAAGAAACTGAGCGGGATGAAGATTTGCCTATCTAAGTGTCTCTAGGAATAGATAATATACCTTGTTCATATTTTTGTATACTATGTTCTAGCAGTTTCTGGCACCTAAAGTACAGATATTTGTTGAGTAGAAAAAAATAACTAAATTAACCACCTTTAGAACTTCATTTTAATGTTTTACCATCTTGATAATTAAGACATTATTTTTGAAATTCAACAAAATGCTCAAGTTTTAAATCAATCTCATGACCTAATTTTATTTTCTGTGTGGAACACTGACCCAGGAGCTCCAAGCGAAGGCGATGGGTTGGAAACAGTCTCTAAGGCATGTCATCTAATATCTACTGCGGGTACAAGATAGTTTTTTAGCTTTGGTGATGGTTGCTATAATCCTCTTGGAGCATCCCTTACTCTTGAAAGGGTTCATGTACAAATGCATTAATTAAACAAACAAACATACAAAAAAGGCTCTATCTTGTAAAATTATCCTTACTTCTACCATTAAAATCAAATCAGATAGTTTATCAGTTAGGGAATTATAAGCTTTTCAATATAGAAAGTGAAAAACAGGAAATCCTGATGCTTAATCCAAATATATACTGAACTGATAAAAGCTGTTAATAACCATGCTTAAGATTTAACAATAATTTCTAAGGTCAAATAAATTTCCTTACTTGAGCTGAGTATCTTTGGGACAAAACTGTAGTCGGTCAAAATCTTGAAAATAAAAAGAATCTGTAAATAGTCATGACTCAACAGGACAATCAATTATTTTCACACACAGTCTCCAGGCTGCACTCACCGAGCCCACACTCCCCTATGGCTACCACCTTCCCCTTGTTCTTTTCAGCAAGATTTAGCAGCTCCTTTAAGTAAAGATCAGGGTTGTTCTTTTCAAATTCATCACATCTTGTAGGATGACATCCAACTGTACTGAAAAACATGTCTAACACAAAATGTCTTAGGATTATTTTCAAAGTATTTTCCATATTTATATTTAATATGCAAAATACTATATATTTAATATGCAGAATACCAAATTATTTCAACAGCTTAATTTTTAACAGTAATCATCAACGATTCAAACTACCAGATTTGCATTAGATTAATCATATAAAATTTTTTGGAATACCTTAACAAAGCTGTGACTATGAAAACTGCCTTAATGTGTGAATAAAAATAATTGAGTCAACTCATTCCAAAGCTTGGTATTTACTGAGCTAGAGAGAATAAAAAATGAAGCCATTACTTGGAGAACAAAATATTATCACCTAATTTTATTTTTTATATTGGCTGTTCATGTGACTGTCTTGTTTCATGTGTCTAATATAATAGTTAAAATGCATTCCCTTTAAAAAGGGTGATTTAAGTGATGGGAGAGGGGATTGGTTTTTCTAATAACAAAGCTCACTTATTTAGAGGCCAGACTTGGAGAGTTTTGACTGTATGGAACATAAATGTGAGGTCAAAAGCTATTTTGAGTGGCTTCAGGTAACTTCCCCTGAACCCATGGGGAAGGCACAGAGCCTTCCTCGGGACCCCATGCAGATGTTTACGTGTAAAGGGAGGCAGAGTTTTTAAAGTAGTGAGGGCACAGGTACATGGAGGGGGGAGGACAAGAGATGAAAATGGAGATCTGAGGACGTTTTAAAGTACCTGTTTGGCGATAAAAAGTATGGAAAAGAGTATTTTTATGTATTTCAAGAGATTCTGGGAAGAGGATTATTTTTACGATCTGAACCACTAAGAAAAAGTATCAGCAGACCACGAAGAGTAGTAAGTATTTAGAAAGATTTCACTAAAAACCAGTATTTTATGAATCAGTATTTCAAAAAATATTAATATGGCATGCCTAAATCCCCAGTATATATAGCACGAGACATGCAAAAAAAAAAAAAGGCTAAAAAATTTAAAAGCAGATTTAAGTTATTTTATGTATCTAGGATTCCTTTAGGAATCAATTCCAAAACTTTATTCTAGACTTTAAATACAAAATGAACATAAAGTGAGCATATGAAGGACTATATATTATATTACTTGCATTCCTAGGGCTTTACAGTGTCTGGTCTGCAGAATCTTTAATAAATGATCTTTTCACAGATTAAGTTAAGAGTTTAACAGAAACACATTACAAAATACAAAAAAAAAGGGGCCTCCCTGGTGGCGCAAGGGTTAAGATGCAACCTGTGAAGCTATCCGCAGTCACTGCAGCATGAGTTCGATTCCCGGCCAGCTAGAGAGCAACCCACATGGTGCAGCAGACCTCTCCTGACTTGCCCTGCTGCTACCCTCAGCTGTGTACCTCAGTCAATCTGCTTGTTCTGTTCCCCACTCTGTCTCTGGTGAATCCTCTTACCTACCCATACCTCTGGCCTGTACCCCAGTTCTTGTATGCATAAATAAATAAATCTTTCAAAAAAAATACAAAAAAATTCTACATCAGGAATATCTGAGACTAAATTATCTACCAGGTAAGCAGTTAATTTCCTTTAACTGAAATTTTAAAATAATTTTTTGTTAAGTACAATGAGAGGATTTTATTTAAGCATCTGGTATACCAATGGGCACTTTGAATTTTTTCATTAATTTTTTTCATTAGATTGAATTTTTTCATTTTAATCAGTCTGTTAACAGTCTGACATCGGTCTGTTTTCCTGTTGTTTCTACAGTCACTATCCATTGTATTGTACCTGAAGTAGCAGTCAGAGAGACTTCTTCAAAATAACTTAATTCTTATTTTTTTTGGTAAAAGTAATATGAGGATACCATTTGTTTGTGCCAAATGCAGTGCGTCTTTACTCTCTTGCAGACTTCCACCTGTAATCATAAACTGAAAAAGAAAAAAATAAGCTGACTTTAACCTGGGCATCATCAGTTTCCCAAACATGGCTTCCTGTTGCTTTTTACCAGAATGTTTTTCCCTTTTTGACTATCACACACCTACCCTTTAAAATTCAGCTGAAATACCACCTCTTATGTAGTGGTGCCTGACTTCTCTACACACACGCAAACGCACACAAGTATACATGCATACACACGCACACAATCACATGCATGTCATGTAGAATTTGCCACTCCCCTATTAAAATGTACCTATATGATGTCTCTCATTCTAGATAGGAGTTCTGTAAGGACAGAGACCATGTTTTAGGCAGCCTGAAATAACTAAAGACCACTGAATTTAGAATTCTGTTACTCTTAATCAGTGATTCAACAGTGCTGACTAATTCAATAGTTTTCCCAGTGTGGTCCCAGAGCCACCCGAGCATGAGAGGTCAAAACTATTTTCTTAAGATGCTGTTTGTCATTTTCACCCCCATTCTGTCATTGGTGGGCAACGAGGTATTCCAGAGGCTACATGTTGTGTGACATCACAACATCACAGGCTGACTGCAGAAACAGAAAGTTCAGTTGTCTTCTACTAATCCAGACATTAAAGAGATGTAAAATAATTCCACTCGTCATTAAATTTTTTTGGTTTGGCCAACAGACATATGAAAAAATGTTCAACATCACTTGTCATCAGGGAAATGCAAATCAAAACTACCATGAGATACCATCTCACACCAGTGAGAATGGCACATATTAAAAAAACTAGCAACAACAAATGTTGGCGAGGATGTGGAGAAAAAGGAACTCTTCTGCACTGTTGGTGGGAGTGCAAACTGGTCCAACCACTATGGAGAGCTGTGTGGAGATTTCTGGACCTACTAAACATAGAGCTTCCATATGATCAGCAATTCCACTCCTAGGTATTTACCAAAGGACACAGAAACATCAATTCCAAAGAGCACCTGCACCCCTATGTTTATAGCAGCACTGTTTACAATAGCTAAGCTTTGGAAACAACCCAAATGCCCAAAGTAGATGACTGGATCAAGAAGATGTGGTACATATATACCATGGAATATTACTCAGCATTCAAAAAAGATAAACACATGCAATTTGCAGCAACATGGATGGCGCTGGAGGGATCATGCTCAGCGAAATAAGCCAAAAAGAAAAGAAAAATACCGGATGGTCTCACTCATAGCAGGAATCTAGAAAACTTAATAAGGGACAGGAAAATGAATATAAGAAAGTGAAAATCAAAATCAACAAAAACTATGAACCAGAGACACTTTTTGGGGTGGGGGGCGGGAGGGGAAGGATTGGGTCAGAATGGGGCGTTTGCAATTGTATGGGGGAATATAAAAATAAAATTTAAGATTAAAAAAAAAAAAAAATTTTTTGGTTTGAAAAATACTTTTCATAAAAATGTTTATATGATGTTTTCTGTTACATACAATGTTTTCTGTTACATATGTTTTTTGTTACTTTTAAATGAATTACTAGACATTTAAAAATTTCCTGAGTTTTAATTTCCAATATAGTGTATATCAATAGCTAAAATTAACATAAACAAAAGCTCTTTGGGTCCTCAATAATAAAAGGAATGTGAAGGAATTCTGAGAAGAGAAAGTTTGAGAATCTCTGGGTTAAATGATGGATCCTTTGTAGGAAAAGTTATGGCTCAGTCAAAGCAGTAAATGTCTATAGAGAGAGTTATTAGATGCACTAGTGGTGAAAACGCCATCTTTTGCTAATATGTTAAAAGGAAAAATAACCACTATAAAGCTTTGTGTTATGGTGACTACAAAGGCAGTTCCGCTTAAATGCACCTTCTAAAGCAATGATTATGGCACGCTGATGTATACTT